CTGCCCCCTCCCATCAGCCGCCTGGTGGTGGTGGTGGAAGATGATGAGGCTCAGGCCAGTTTCTCCTAGAACTGCAAAGCCTTATACGGTCTTATTCATACATGATTGCAGAGGAGGGCACCGGGAACCTTCCCAGCTTTAGTAAAGGAGAGACTGCTGTCCTGGGAGGGGCTGAAGGATGTGTGAGTGGAACCCCAGTTCTCTGATCCTGGTTTCTCCCCAACTCCAGCGTTAAGACCTGGAATCCAGAAGCAGCCCTTTCTCACCATCTTTGGGGATTCTGTCCCTGCCACCTGAGTCTTGTTCGTCTTTTCTTTTCTTTTTGAGACAGAGTCTCACTCTGTAGCCCAGGCTGGAGTGCAGTGGTGCGATCTTGGCTCACCGCAACCTCCGCCTCCCAGGTTCAAGCGATTATCCTACCTCAGCCTCCTGAGAAACAGGGACTGCAGGCTCGCACCACCACACCTGGCTATTTTCTTTTTAAAAAATTTTTTAGTAGAGTTGGGGTTTCACCATGTTGGCCAGACTGGTCAACATCTGACCTCGTTATCCGCCTGCCTTAGCCTCCCAAAGTGCCAGGATTACATGTGTGAGCCACCACGCCCAGCCTAGTCTTATTCATCTTAATTACAGTCTCCCTGTTCTGAGGAGCCAAAGGTGAAAGGGACGTGAGGAAAGAGGAGAAGGAGCTGGTGACGGGTGGGAAGGTAGGCAGTGTTGTGACCTGAAACGGTGTGACGACTGCCGACTTCCCTTTCCTAGATATGAGCTGACGAAGGGGAAACAGTGTTGCCTCAGCCGCCTCCTCCGTCAGAGCCCTCAGGCACAGACTGCCCTTGTCTGCCCCTCAGCCTCAGCCTTGGCCTGCCTGGTCCCCAGCGCCCTCTCCTCTGGCTGATGCAGGAGGACCTGCCAGACACAGCCAGGTGTATCGCGGCTGACTGCAGTCGTCTCCCCTAGGGTCCTGCTTCTCCTGCCTCCTGCTTTTTTCCCCCTGGAGCTGTCTCCTTATCTTCTCTCTCTCTCTCTTTTTTTTTTTTTGAGACGGAGTTTCGCTGTCGTTACCCAGGCTGGAGTGCAATGGCGCGATCTCGGCTCACCGCAACCTCCGCCTCCTGGGTTCAGGCAATTCTCCTGCCTCAGCCTCCTGAGTAGCTGGGACTACAGGCACGCGCCACCATGCCCAGCTAATTTTTTGTATTTTTAGTAGAGACGGGGTTTCACCATGTTGACCAGGATGGTCTCGATCTCTTGACCTCGTGATCCAACCGCCTCGGCCTCCCAAAGTGCTGGGATTACAGGCTTCAGCCACTGCGCCCGGCCCCTTATCTTCTCTTGTCTGTGGGTTACTCCTGGACCCTGAGGTTAGGAATTGGAATCAGGCTGTTAGCAATAAAAGAGTTTAAGTTGACTTATTTTCCTTATCAGGCTTAGTAAGTGAAGTGACTTGCTAAGATTCATAATTCTTACAGAACCAGCCATGAACCCAGATCCCTTTCTGACTCATCCTGTCATTCTGTGACACATGCAGTCTAAATGGCAGGGCTGGGGCAAGAACCCATGTCACCTGCACTTGGAGTCCAGTGACCTTTGGGTTAAGCATGTCTGTGTGTGTGTGTGTGTGTGTGTGTGTGTGTGTGTGTGTTTTGTGATGGAGGAGGAAGGTCGCTGCTATCGGTAGCTGTTTTCTTCATTCTTTGTTCTACAAACCCTAACAGCCGATTCTGTCCTTCCTCGTCTGCCCCTCTCCTGCTTCTGCATCTACTCTGATCACGATTTTTTTCTCTCCCTGGAGGAATGACGGTCTCATTCTCACCTCCTCCACGAAACGTGTCAGTTTTTCATATTCCTAGATCCACCCACTTCTCACTGTCTCTTCTTTTTTTTTCTAAACAACATTTTATTGAACAATTTAATACTACATGTGTCAACGTTGTAAAGTTATTGAGTAAATAAGCATTTATCCTAAATATTGAGAAATATCCTGCGTTCGTGCCAGGCTATGTGTCATGGCTTTGGCACTTTTAGACTATTAGAAATACCTTGTAGCATTAAAAATAGGACACTGAAGTCATTTATTTTTGCAGCCCTCTCCCATACCACACTCCCCTGTATCACTTATCTTCCTGAAGTTGTTATTAATCATTAACACAACTAGCTGGGCACAGTGGTGTGTGATGGTAGTCTTAGCCCCTCAGAAGGCTGAGGTGGGAGACTAGCTTGAGGGCAGGAGTTCTAGGTTAGGTGAACTATGATTGCACCGTCGCACTTTAGCCTGGGTAACAGAGCAAGCCCCTGTTTAAAAAAAAAATAATAATAATAATTGCTATCATGCCATCACTTATTGAATGCTTAATATATGGCAAACACTTGCTAAACACTTCGCATGCTTGATTTAAGCATCAAGCCAGCTCTTTGAAGGGTACCAGCGTGTTTCCCAGTTTTTAGATGAGCAGACTGAAGTTCTTGCTGCTTCATATTGGAAACTTGCACTTGATTCTAAGGCCCCTGCTTCTTCAAGAACTCTGCTTTGGGTTTGCTTCTACTGTCCCTGGGGTCTCCCTTCATGATGGTGGTGAGCTGCTTCCTCTCTGAGTCCAGCTTCAACCCTACCGTTCTCCAGAAGCGGGACGATGGGGTGGAGTGAAGTCAGCTCCCCTCGCAGTGTGGGACACCAAAGCACCATCTCATCTACAGATCACAGAGGGGAGGCCAGGAAGAGCCAGGGAGGGTGGTCTTGGGGCTGGGAGGTCCTCTCAGAGGGAGAAGGGGTGAGGAGTTCTGATTTCAAGTTCCGAAGCTCTAGGACCTCCCTCTTCTGTGACTCCCTTCATTTCTAGCAGCCTCAGCTGCTGCAGGCCCTTGGATGGGGCTGGGTGTAGGGAAGGGGAAGATCATTGTACCCAGAAGATAGTTGCGTAAATGTTGTATCTTTGTTGTAAGATTCTTTTGGGAGATATCTGCATCAGTGGGGATGGCATAAAGTACCCAGAGTCAGGATGTGGGGTCTGACTCAAAGTGACAGAAAAAGTGGCAGTGTGTTCCTCATTAGCCAAAGGGGCCCTTGGACTGGGGGTCGGGAGTCTGGTGTTCTCTACTGGCTCTGCTTCCTGGCACACCAGGTTTCTGGACCTCAGTTTTCTTCTCTATAAAACCAGGAGGTTGGCCAGACACAATGGCTCACACCTGTAATCCTAGCACTTTGGGAGGCTGAGATGGGCAGATCTCTTGGGCCCAGGAGTTCAAGACCAGCCTGTAAAACAGGGTGAAACTCCGTCTCTACAAAAAATACAAAAATTAGCCAGGCCTCGTGGTGGGCACCTATAGTCCCAGCTACTTGGGAGGCTGAGGTGGGAGGATTACTTGAGCCCAGGAGGTTGAGTCTGCAGTGAGCTGTGATGGTACCATTGCACTCTAGCCTGGGCAACGGGGTGGATCTTCAAAACAAAAACAAAAATGAAAAACAAGCAAACGAAGAAATGAAAAAAACCTATGGGGTTGGAGTCGATGATCTCTAGGGTCCGTTATAATTGATGTATTAGAATATTTGGGAAAAGGGCCTTGGGAATATATGAGGAACACCCGATGGAAATATCTTTATTTCCACAGCAGCTTCGTGTGTCTCGCTGATCCCCGTGGCATCACTTTCCACGTGTAGTGGGCAGGCGTTGTTACCACTGTTTAATAAATGAGGAACCAACAGAGGCTGAGGAGAGGAGTCGCCTGATGCCCCATGATTGGTGGCAGAGCCAGGATCAGCAGTGGGGCAGGGGGGCAGGGGGGACCTGGCCAGGCGGAGACGGGATGAGACCTGGAGTAAGTAGTGGCAGGAACCCAGTCAGGACAGAAAACGAGGGTTAAGAGTTACTTTGAGGTTTGGATTGGACAAGCAAATTCCCAAGAAAGAAAGAGGCATGGCCGGGCGCGGTGGCTCAAGCCTGTAATCCCAGCACTTTGGGAGGCCGCGGCGGGTGAATCACAGGTCAAGAGATCGAGACCATCCTGGTCAACATGGTGAAACCCTGTCTCTACTAAAAATACAAAAAATTAGCTGGGCATGGTGGCGCGTGCCTGTAATCCCAGCTACTCAGGAGGCTGAGGCAGGAGAATTGCCTGAACCCAGGAGGCGGAGGTTGCGGTGAGCCGAGATCGCGCCATTGCACTCCAGCCTGGGTAACAAGAGCGAAACTCCGTCTCAAAAAAAAAAAAAAAAAAAAAAAAAAAAAAAAAGAAAAGAAAGAAAGAAAGAAAGAGGCATGGAGGCTAGCTAAGAACTCTGGAGTAAATAAAGGGGAGTGCCGGTAAGGGACGTGGAGTACTTTCGATGCGTCAGACACTTATCTATCTCTCTCCTGTCTGAACAAATCCTTACAGGAACCCAGGAGACAGGTTATCTCCACTATGAATTGGAAAACAGACCCAGAGAAGTTCAGTTATGTGACCACGACCACCCAGCTAAGAAGCTAAGCATTCTGAACTGGAACCCAGTGACTCTGACTCCTAAGCTCTAGGTCTCTTCACTGCTGTGTTCCATTTGGGAAAGGCGGGCGATGGGGGGAGGGGCTTATTGCACCCTGGTGTTTGGTTGGGAGTGGTCGGATTGGTGGGTTCGGATTGGTGGGTTCAGGGTGCAAGGCGGCCGGATCTGGGACTCCCGTGTTTGTGACTGGGGCTTACAAAGAGTTAACCCGCCTCCCGCCTCCTCCTCCAGCTCTTCCTGGTGCGCTGTTGCAACACCGCCTCATTCTGCCTCACTGTTCCCCTCCCACCTCCTCTCTCCTTCTCTCTACTTTAATTTTCTCAGAATTCTCTGCACCCGGGCTCCGGTTCTAGCCTTTGGGGTTCAAGATCACCGGGACCGGGCCGTGGTCTCTATGCCCGAGTCTCAACCCTCAACTGTCATCTCAAGACACTTGTGATGTCCTGGACAGACCGAGACGAGACTCGGGAAGCCTCCTGCGCTGCCACTGCCACACTGCCCTGAGCCCAAATGGGGGAATGAGAGGCCATAGGTGTCTGGCATGGGCCTCCCCATCGTGCCTGACCTGCTGCTGCCACTGGTGAGACCAGGGAGAAAGGGAAGAGTGGGCTGGTGGGCGAGGCCCTGCCCGGTCGGCGTGGGCACTATCCGGGAGGGGGCTGAGCCTCTCCTGGCCCGGCCTGGCTCTGGCGCCAGCCTCAGGCCGGCAGGTCCTAACGTCAGCCGCTGCCAGGGTGGGGTTCCCCATTCATCGGCCTCTTGGAGTAGGGGCTGCGCTGAGGCAGGGGAACTGGAGAAGTTCGAAAGGGAGAGAGTAAAAGGAAGCCCTGGCCCCTGACAGCGTGAGAGTTTGCCGGAGTTTGCCGGAGCCGCGGGGATGGGGGGCAGGTGATAGGTCCAGGGTGGGGCAGATTTGGCGGGGAAAGGAAAGGAGTGGGAGTAGGAAGGTTAGTGCTCCGGGAGCCCGGACGGTTCTGAATTCTGTCCCTCTGGTCAGCTGGCTGGCCTGGAATGTGTCGGGCTGTGGGTTGCCTGTGGAGCCTGGCTCAGCACCGCCTGCAGGGCAGGAGTAAGTTGGCTAGGGAAGCGGGGAGAGCGAGTCCAGGAGCGACGTGTTGGTGTGGTGGGTTTGGGATGCTCGTGGGGGGAGGTATTTGAGAATGGGCTGGGACACTGGATGGGGCAGGGCCACCCAGTGGACAGCGCCCCAGTGTCCCGGCCTCTCACCCGGGGACATTCCTCACCCTTCTGCCTGCTGGCAGACAGGTGGCTTCTGCGGGACTGACTCTTCCCAGGGAACCGGCACTACCCCCACCTGGAAAGTGTCCTTGGGTCTGTCCTCCAGCCTCCCCTCCCCCACCCCTCTTCCCATAGACCTAAACAACAATCCCTTAGTTTCTGATTCTACAGTTCAGTTTGGGGAAGTTGGTAGAAAGTTGTTTCGTCACTGGAAAATGTCCCTTTCTCTGACCTTGGCCTTGTTTCAATGTATCCTTGATCATCCTCCATGTCTTGGTCAGGGAATCATCCCATTCAGTAGCCCTGGGCCCATCAAATCGGGCAGATTTTCTCTGCCCTGTGGTGGCCTGGCCATGCCCGGCCTCCAAAAGCCGTGCCTACCTCCTCTCTCTTATGCTCTTCCTCTCCCACCATTCCTTTCTTTCCAACAATCTCCCTGCACTCTCCTCATACTTCCAAGAGACTCTTTTTTGAAATCCTTTCTCTCTAGTCCCCTTGCATCTCCTCTCTGCTCCGCTCTGGTCCCGCATTTCCAGCCCCAGGTCCCCAAGCGGCACGTCTCTGTCAGGGTCTGACTCTTCTTCTCCCTCCTAGTCCCTCCTTAGTTTCACCCCGTCTTCCCTTCTCCCCACTGTCCTTCCTCCAGGGTCTCCCCACCAGACAGCTGTCCCGACATCCTGCTTCTGTTTTCTGTTTGGGGTGGCCCCGGCTCTCTCACGTACCAGCGGCATGAGCAAGAGCAGGTTTTATAACCTAACCTTCCATGCTTTCGTTTCTTTATCTCCAAAATGGGTGTCATAGTCATGACCTCATACTGTTCTGAAAGTTGACTAGACTGATACATGCTCAGTGTCCATTTGATTACTAAGTGAGTGCTCTGGGCTAGACACTGTGATAGGTGCTGGGATGACAGCAGAGAACAAAATCCCTGCTCATAGCTTTGTCCATTGGGGGAATAGGTTGTAGCAAATAGAAAGCACTCAATGAGGGCTGTGTGTTGCTCTGATTAGTAGTAAGTACTCGGTGGTGCCTGTCTGGAAAAACAGAGGCTGAAGGTAGCAGGAACAGGTAAAGGACAGTGCCTGGGGCCTGGGTGCTTCAGCCCAGGTGGGATTATGTCTCCTAAGGGACAGAGCCTGGTCTGGAGTTGAGGGGAAGGGGAAACCAAGAGAGTGCAACATCGTTCTGAATTTCTCACCATTCATTGGGCAATGCAGAGCTCACAGTGTGTGCGTGTGTGTGCGTGCGTGTGTGTGTGCGTGTGTGTGCGTGTGTGTGTGCGTTTGTGTGTGTGAGGTGGCGTAGCGGAGTAGAGAAGAATGATATAGGAGAGAGTGTGGCAAAGCAAACAGGATTTTGCTGCCCTCAAAGAGCTTACAGTCTAGGAACCAAGACAGTTTACAGTGAAAAATGATTTCAGAGCAATCCCGAGGAAAATGCATTGTGATGTGGTGTCCTGAGCACCAACAGAAGGAGGAAGAACTGGGGAAGGAGATGGGCCTTCGACCGCAGCCCTGCCTCGCTTAGCAGGTCTCAGCTCCCGTGCTCAGTGTCACAAAATTCAGGAGCTTCCCCAGGCTGCTTCGGCGTCCTTCGCTGTGCAACTGGAGTGCTCCCTGTATAGATCTCAGGACCTACGACAGACTGTCTGACCCAGCTGAGAGATCTTTTTTGTTTGTTTGTTTTGAGATGGAGTCCTGCTCTTGTTGCCCAGATGGGAGTGCAATGGCGTGATCTCGGCTCGCCGCAACCTCCACCTCCCAGGTTCAAGCAGTTCTCCTGCCTCAGCCTCCCTAGTAGCTGGGATTCTAGGTCTGCACCACCATGCCCGGCTAATTTTTTTTTTTTTTTTTTTTTTTTTTGAGACGGAGTTTCGCTCTTGTTACCCAGGCTGGAGTGCAATGGCACTATCTCGGCTCACCGCACCCTCCGCCTCCTGGGTTCAGGCAATTCTCCTGCCTCAGCCTCCTGAGTAGCTGGGATTACAGGCACGCGCCACCATGCCCAGCTGATTTTTTTATATTTTTAGTGGAGACGGGGTTTCACCATGTTGACCAAGATGTTCTCGATCTCGTGACCTTGTGATCCACCCGCCTCGGCCTCCCAAAGTGCTGGGATTACAGGCTTGAGCCACCGCGCCCGGCCCATGCCCGGCTAATTTTGTATTTTTTTTAGTAGAGACGGGGTTTCACCATCTTGGTCAGGCTGGTTTTGAACTCCCTACCACCTTGGGTGATCCACCCGCCTCGGCGTCCCAAAGTGCTGGCCGAGAGCTCTTGAGAGTATGAGCTGTATATTAACCCTCTCGGCATCCCTAGCACCCACACAGGACCTGTGACATAAACTGTGCCCCTTAACTATTTGCTGAATGAGTTAAAGAACAAGAGGTGGGTTAGATGGGATGAGGGCGGGAAAGCCTCATAGAAAAGTGGATATGATACTGACATCTGAAGTCACTGCCTGGCAAGGTAGCTAGAAAGGAGGGAGGCAGAGTCGGAGGCTGATGTGAGGAAGAGGAGAGCAATGGAGAGATGGGATTTTGTGTTGATGGGCAGGGTGGCAGGAAGCCAGACACCTTGGTGGGAGTGGAAAGACCGTGCTGAGAAACACTAAGAAATGAGAATGGAACATTGGAGGGAGTGGGGGGAAGGATGGAGGAAGAACGTTGCATGTGGTCCCAGGTGAAGGAATCCATTCATTCACGTTTTCAGAAGTTGTTCTGATACATGTTAAGTGTTCATTTGATTTATTAAGTGCATGCTCTCGGCTAGACGCCGTGATAGGTGTTGGGATTACAGCAGAGAACAAAATCCCTGCTTATAGCTCTGACAGTCCATCAGGGGAATAGGCTGTAGCAAACAGAAAGCCCTCAATAAACCCCAAGATCTTGACATTAAATAAGGTTTGTATATTGCTCTGATTAGTATAATTACTGGGTGGACTGCCTGTCTGGAAAACAGAGGGTAAAGGTAGCCTGAACAGGTAAAGGGAAGTGCCTGGGGCCTGGGGTGCTTCAGCCCAGGTGGGTTTATGTCCCCAGGGGACACGCTGTGCCTGGACTGTGATTGGAAGTGAGGCATCTCAGACGGGTGCCGTGGCTCATGCCTGTAATTCCAGCACTTCAGGAGGCTGAGGCGTATGGATTGCTTGAGTCCAGGAGTTTGAGACCAACCTGGACAACGCAGCAAAACCCCATCTCTACAAAAAATACAAAGATGAGCAGGGCATGGAGGGGGGGCATGCTTGTTGTCGAAGCTACTCAGGAGACTGAGCTGGGAGGATGGCTTGGGCCCAGGAGGTGGAGGTTGTAGGGAGCCCTGAACACACCACTGCATTCCATACTGGTGGTGGAGGTTGCAGTGAGCTATGATTGTGCCATTGCACTTCACCCTGGGTGACAGAGTGAGACCCTGTTTCAAAAAAAAAAAAAAAAGAATGTCAAAAAAGAAGTGAGGCATCTCTGGAAGTGCTTATTCGGATCATTTCCATGACCATGGAAATGGCGTTTGGAGCCAGGCCCTGGAGATGAAGAGAAGTTCACACACTTGGGCGTGCAAGTTAAAGCCTGAAAGTACTGGTGCCCACTGGCTGGGCATGATGGCTCACGCCTATAATCCCAGCACCTGAGGTGGGTAAATCACGAGGTCAGGAGTTCAAGACCAGCCTAGCCAAAGCCGTGTCTCTACTAAAAATACAAAAATGAGTTGGGCATAGTGGCAGGAGCCTGTAATTCCAGCTACTCAGATGACTGAGGCAAGAGAATCACTTGGACCAGGGCAGCAAAGGTTGCAGTAAGCCGAGATCGAGCCACTGCATTCCAGCGTGGGTGACAGAGTGAGACTCCATCTCAAATAAAAAAAGCCTGAATGCAGATAAGGAAGTGGGTAGGGTGAATGGGAGCAGGAGAGAGTCTGGGGAGACAGCTTCCATAACCCAGGTGTGAGGCAACCCAGGAATGCGGAGATGACGGAGAGGTCACAGAGGGAGGCCTGGCAAGATGAACTGACACAGGAAGGGACATTGACACAGCAAGGACAGGGACAGGGACCTGGGGAGAGAGCGTGGCGAGGTCTCAGCGTTTGTCCGGGAAGTCGATGTTGTGACATTTGTCTACGTGAGGAGACGGATGAATTCCATCTGGGGCATGTTAAGAGTCAGGGTAATGGTCACGTGGAAGTCTGTACCTACCAAGCCAGCGCAGGGGTGCTCAAAGTTCGTTCTGCCTTTGTATCATTCGGACGCGCTGTCCTCACTCATCAGTGCTTCTCCAGAGGAGAGGAGCTCACCAGACTCTTCAGTATGGGTGTGTGTGCTTGTGTGTGGGGAGGTGGGGGAATGGCCTGAAAACTCTCCCCTGGAGATAAATATATTCCTACCAGGGTGCTGTCTCCTCACCTCCCTCTTTGGGCGAGTGGAGACAGATGTGTCATTAGATCGATCAGTTGATCCCTATTTATCTGCTCCCAGTCTGGAGGCCTGGTTCTGGGAGCTGAGAGGGCACCAGGGGAGGATAAGATACCTTCTCACCAGGAGCCTCTTTGATCTCTCATCTTACAAGGTTCGTGGTCACTTTGGGGAGATCATATCTGTCACCCAACTTAACCATATTATGATAAGAGCCAGAAGTAGATAGGGTCAGTTCACATCATTCAAGTTCACAGGGGCTGAGGGTCTAAGGAGCTGGGGTGGAGGAAACAGACATCATCAATGGAGGCTTCATGGAAGGGAGATGGGATCTCAACTGGGCCCTCGGAGGAGGAGCTGCTATGACCTCCCCCAAGATCTTGACATTAAATGAACAGACACGTGAATGCAGGGGAAAGGAAGACTAACAGTCCTTGCAAGGTGGCTGGATCAGGGTCAGACCACAAGGTAGATCTCAGCTTCGCCTCCTCACTCCGCAGCCCCAGCACAGGAAGTCACACTTTAAAGCCTCCCCTGGCGGAAATTGCGGGGGAGTTGGAGGGTGTTGGGCCACCCCCTCAACTGTCTCTCCACAGGCACCCCAGCTTCCTGCCCTTCCCCTGCTCTCGGCTGGAGTCTGGGCCTGCAGAGCTCACCTCCTGTTCCCCCTGTTTTGCTTCACTTATGCAACTGCTGAGGACTGGGCGCACTGGGCCAGCTGGTGCCAGCAGTGGTGCCCACTTGGGGGGAGTCTGAGGGCCCTGGCTCCTAGGGGTCAGGGAGGGCTGACTCGGAGCATTCTGGGGGCCAGGGGAAGCCTGGGAAGCAGGACCAGTTCTTCCATCTGGCATCACTTCTTGCCTGCTCCCTTATTCCTGGAAGTGGGTGCTCAGGGTTCTGGAGCCTTTCCTGTGCTGCCAGTGGGCTTGGGGAGGGGCTGCGGACACTCAGAACTGGCCTGATTTCCTAGGGATTGTGTGGGGGCCCCAGGGAGGCCCCCAAACCCAGCACAACTGGCCAGAGCCAGCCCGGCTGTGGGAATGCGGTGAACCCAGGGTGGGAGGGCAGCCTTGGCTTGCCTCCTACTGGGACTGGGGAGAGTCGGGGGCTGGAGTGAGAGCTCATTGAACCGGGTTGAGCTGTTGGAGACTTGTTGAACTGGTAGAAGGAGCAGGGCGGGGCCTCAGTTAAAGGATGCTGAGGGGCAGGCAGGAGCCAAGTGGTCCTCGGGGAGGGGAGGGCACTGACCTGATATGTGGAAGCCAGGGTCAAGGGAGACTTCCCGGACCGGGGAGAGGGAGGCATTTCCCGGAACAAGTGGGCCAAGTGGGACAGGGGTCTGTGGCCTGGCTCTTTGAGTGGAGAGGGGTTGAAAGGGGGTTGAGTGGGGATGGGAAGGAGGGACTGGGTCATAGGAAGAAGGGATTGATGGAGTCCCACGCGCGCGGGCTGGTGCCTTCTGCCTTTCTGCTGACTCACGCCCCTGAGGAGCTGGGGAAGCTGCTAGTTCCCTCTCCCCCTCCCTAGATCTCCCTCCCTCCGGCCTGAGTCACTGGGGCGGAGTTGCTGGGAAAAGATTTCCCTTTCCCGGATCTGACTTAACCCCCAGAGTACTGGAAAGAAAAGGGAGCCCGTGACCTGAGAAAGCCTCTCTCCCTCTCTCCCTCCCTCCAGGGAGGCTCATCCTCACCCTGGCCAGAGGTCCCCGTAAAGCTTCCTTCAAAGCTGTCTGGGTCTGGCGTCCTCCAGTGCTTCATCCTGACTCTGTCTCTGCCGGTTGACTCTGCCTCAAGCGCCCTGGATGGGATCCAAAGTGCCAGTGACCTTAGATGGCCCGATGTCTTCTTCGGGGAAAGGAACCACACTTTCAGGATTGGGAAGTTCTTCCCATCACCACCCCAAGCCCTTCCTGTTGCCCTGGACGCCCCAGTCCTATTTCAGGGGAGGTGGCACGGTGTTGGCTGGCGTGGGCTGGGAAAGGTTGCAGTCCTCTGAGCGGGGGGTGCACACCTCCGCACGCCAGGGCTGGGGCTGCTGCCATGCTTGTTCTGTTTGGCTTCGCATGTTTGCGGCTGAGGCTTGGGCTTCCGGGCCTGGGCAGCTGCAGCTGCAGCGTCTCCCCGTGGCTGACTCAGGGCGTGACCGGCCTCCTACTCGGAAATGTGGAGCTGGAGAGGCTGGGCAGCTGTGGGCTGCCCGGCCCTCCTTCTCTGGCCTGGGGTTTCTGTGACCTGGTGAGTCCGTTGCTCCCCAGTGTTTAACAGACATCGAGGACACCCTCTTATCTTTACATAAAGTGACTCTTATAGCAGAGAGAAAAAAAAAAAAAATTGAAGCCCAGGGAAAACCAGAAATGAAACTGGCAGAGATCAAAGTCCCAGGCTGGAGCTAAATATTTACTGCTGGCTTTGGTTTCCTGGCACTGATGCCAGAACAGGGCAAGCCATTTAGCTGCTGTGGGGTTGGCTCGAGGCTGTAAAGCATACCTTCCAGAACGTCATGGCGTGCAGGGGGCTCCAGGACCCCCCAGCACGCCCTCAGCTCTGACCTGACCCTCATCCAAGCTGGGTCACCGGCCTTGGCCAGCAATATTTGCCTGTGACCTGTACACCTTTGCCCACTCCTGCCCCCATCTCAACTTCGTCTCCCATCCACCAATCCAGGACCCACAACCTTTCCCTTTGACTCCCCTCCCCATTTGTCCTTGCCAACCCTGGGTGTCTGTGGAGATTATGAGGCGGAGAGGTTGGGCCAGGGAATGTGAGGGCGGGAGGCCGAATAAGGTTTGATACAAGCAGGTAAATAAACTTTCTGCTGCTTCTGCCCACTCCCCAGGAGTGGTGCTCACAGGAACATCGCTCGCCCCCACCAGCAGCTGACTTTTCAGAAAGCTTTTCATGCACATACAGTGAGGATGTGCACAGATCCTCACTGATCACCTCTGTGAATGTTCACAAAGCGATCCCACTGTGAACCCAGCACCCAGGTGGAGAAACACTGCCGCAGTCTTCAGGGCTGCTTGTTGGAAGAAAGGGCCAACAAGCCCTGAAGAAATCTTCTAATTCCCAATCAAAAACACATCCTTTCAGCATCTGCCCCGTGTCCAGCACTGTTAACTGTCGGGGATTTCCCAGTGAGGCTAAAATACACTGCTGTAATCCTAGCACTGTGGGAGGCCAAGGTGGGAGGATCACTTGAGCCCAGCATTTTGAGACCAGCCTGAGCAACAGAACAAGACCTTGACTCTACTAAAAATCAAAAAAACATTAGCTGGGCATGGTGGTGCACGCCTGTAGGTCCCAGCTACTCAGGAGGCTGAGGTGGGAGGACCGCTTGAGTGTGGGTGGTGGAGGCTGCAGTGATTGCATCACTGCACTCCGGCCTGAGAAACAGAACAAGATCCTGTCTGAAAAAAAAAAAAAAAAAAAAAAAAAAAAAAAAAAAAAAAAATACGGCTTAGCTCTGGGGCCTACTAGCTTTGAGTTGAGGGCAACTAGAGAACAATGAAGCATCAGATTATATGGTCCTGACTGTCTAAGTTTCCAGGAAGAACTCTCAGCTTTGTGAGTGGGGTGGTCTGGGGGGATTGTTTCACGGAGGAAGGACTTGAGCTGGGGAGGTTTTAGATCCGTTGCCCCTAAGCTTCCCTCCCTCCCTCTCCTGATGGCGTCTCCTCTATCTGATTCTTCTCCAGGTGCTCCTGGTGCTGTTGGTGGGAATATACCCCTCAGGGGTTGTTGGACTGGTCCCTCACCTCGGGGACAAGGAGAAGAGAGATAGTGCGTGTCCCCAGGGAAAATATATCCACCCTCAGAATAATTCTGTTTGCTGTACCAAGTGCCACAAAGGTAGGAGAAAAGTGCAAACGGTGAACGTCCTCAGGTCTGGGGCGCTGCTGCCCCTTCTTCTTTCAGCTGTTCTTCCCTAACTTTGCTTCCTCTCCTGGGCTGGGATTTTCTCCCTCTGTCGTCTCCTAAGGACTTCAGGGTGGAGCCAGAAGAACTATACGGGGTGGGGCTGGAAGGAACTTGAGAGAGTGAGTTCCCAGCAGGAAGGGTTCTGCTGTTGTCCCTAGCATGGGGCTCCTTCCCTGAGCCCTCACCCGCAGCCTAACTCTGCCGCCCTGTTCACAGGAACCTACTTGTACAACGACTGTCCAGGCCCGGGGCAGGACACGGACTGCAGGGAGTGTGAGAGAGGCTCTTTCACCGCTTCAGAGAACCACCTCAGACACTGCCTCAGCTGCTCCAAATGCCGAGAGGGTGAGTGTGCACAGGCTGGAGGGTCAGGCGGGTCTTGAGTGGCACGTGCCTGCCTGTCTGTGCGTGGGCAGGTGGGTGGGGGCATGTGTGTCGGTGGGACACGGCGTGGGTGTGAGTGTGTGTTAAGAGACAGGCACACACGTAGGGGCATGTCAGGAAGGGGGTGGAGGGACAGGGGATGCAGGACTCACACTCCATCTCCTCCCTGCACCAGAAGTGGGCCAGGTGGAGATATCTCCTTGCACAGTGGACCGGGACACCGAGTGTGGCTGTGGGAAGAACCAGTACCGGCATTATTTTAATGAAAACTTTTTCCAGTGTGTCAACTGCAGCCTCTGCCTCAATGGCACCATACTTATCCCCTGTGAGTGCAGCTCTGCTGATCCCAAGCCCTCTCCCCACCCCAGGGGCTGGCCCCTTTCCCATGCCGCGGCACTTCCTTTTCTTCCCCCTCGCGTAGTCCGTGGATCTGACGAGCAGCTCCCCCACCCTGTCCCTCATCACTTTCTCTGTCCTGTGGGGTGGGGGTCCACGGTGCTCCCCCTTTAGCGGTGCGGCACTTCTCCCCACAGGCCAGGAGAAACAGAACACCGTGTGCGACTGCCATGCCGGGTTCTTTCTAAGTGAAAACAAGTGTGTCTCCTGTAGTAAGTGAGTATCTCTGTGAGCTGCTGGGCACTGGATGGTAGCATGGGTTGGGATGGTGACTGTGGGGGGGAGCCACTAGCAGGGCAACGGATGCCAGGATGCCCCAGAGTGCTCAAGCGCCTACTGGCTGAGTGGAAGACACTTCGCTAAGACACCAGGCAGTCCTTCCCCTTGCTCTTCAACTCTTAAGAAGTCTTTGAGGCTAGAAGATCATGCCCCAAGGACTTGCAGCCCTTCCAACTCAGGTAGATTCTTGGGCCGTAGGATCTACCGCAGTTCATTGATTCGAGGACATACACTCTCACAGCTCTGAAATCAGACTGCATCTTCCTGTAATTGAGGATTCATCGTGGTTTAATTGGCAGCTTTGTGTGTGTCTGGGTGGTGATGTGAAGAAAGGCACCCTTTATTCTTGATGGCGTCTTTGGTTTGGTGCAATATGGTATTTCCTCCATCACTTTGTCCAGGCCTCCTCACTCCTGGCTCTCCAGAGGCTGTTCTTGTCACTCACTTGCAACGAATACACTCTGAGGGCTCTCAGAATCTGAACCAGAGCATAGACACTGGCTGTGTGACCTCGGGCAAGTTTCTCAACATCTCTGAGCCTGACTTTTGTTTTCTTCTTTTTTGAGACAGGGTTTCACTCTGTCACCCAGGCTGGAGTGCAGTGGCGCAGCCACGGCTCAGCCTCCACCTCCAGGGCTAAAGTCACCCTCTTGCCTCAATCTCCTGAGTAGCTGGGACTACAGGCGTGCATCACTGTGCTGAGTTAATTTTTTCTTTTTTGTAGAGACAGGGTCCTACTATGTTGCCCAGGCTGGCCTTGGACTCCTGGGCTCAAGCGATCCTTTGCCTCGACCTCCCAAAGTGCTAGCATTACAGGCATGAGCCACCATGTCTGGCCTGGGCCTTAACTTTTCTTATATTTGAAGTAAGCATAATGACATTCATTTGGTGAATTTGTGAGAACTAAAAGCAAGCAAACAAAACCTACAATATGTCTAACACAAAGCTATTTATTTTCCATTAATCTTCATCTCTTCTTTTTCTTTCTTTCTTTTTTTGTGAGACGGAGTCCCACTCTTTCACCCAGGCTGGAGTGCAGTGGCACGATCTTGGCTCACTTCAACCTCTGCCATCCAGGTTCAAGTGAGTCTTCTGCCTCAGCCTCCCCAGAACCTGGGATTATAGGCACAGGCCACCATGCCCAGCTAATTTTTGTGTTTTTAGTAAAATAGGGTTTCACCATGTTGGCCAGGCTGGTCTCAAACTCCTGATCTCAGGTGATCCACCCGCCTCTGCCTCCCAAAGTGCCAGGATTACAGGCATGAGCCACCGCACCTGGCTTCATCTCTTCTTGAAAGCACTTTTATGTATCATTCCATGTGGTTCTCACCATGAGCTTGAGAGGTGGGCTAAAGCGCCTCTTCCTGTTTTCAGCTTCCTGCTGGGAACTCACTCTCCCAAGTTCCTTCCAGCACCACCCCATAGAGTTTTCATCACTCCACATTGTCCAGTGACAATGCCCAATATGGAAGGTCTGCTGGTCCTGTAGGGTGCTCTCTGGCTGCCCCAGCGACAAGTATTTTAAATTTTTCACATGCATGTTTGACCCCCTCCTCCCTGAAGTCAGGTATTATAATTAGCAGTGTCATTTAAGAAAAAGCCCTTTGGCTGAACGTGGCGGCTCACGCCTGTAATCCTAGCACTTTGGGAAGCCGAGGTGGGCGGATCACCTGAGGTCAGGAGTTCGAGACCAGCCTGACCAATATGGAGAAACCCCATCTCTACTAAAAATACAAAATTAGCTGAGCATGGTGGTGCATGCCTGTAATCCCAGCCACTCGGGAGGCTGAGGCAGGAGAATTGCTTGAACCTGGGAGGTGGAGGTTGCGGTGAGCGGAGATCACACCATTGCACTCCAGCCTGGGTAACAAAATCAAAACTCTGTCTCAAAAAAAAAAAAAAAAAAAAAAAGAAAAAAAAAAGAAAGGAAAACAAAAGAAAAGTAAAAGCCCTTTAACCTCTCTTTGCCAAAGGATTCTCATCAACAAAACAGTGATGGAACAGCAATCCCAAGCTAGCTAGTTGCCTTCTCAAGCACTTATTAAATCAAGTGTAACGATTTTGCTTAATCCTCAAGCCTGAAAGGGGGGTGATCCCTGCGGTGATGAGAAAACCGAGGCTTGGCGGTTAATGGCTTGCCTAGATTCATGCTGCTAGCCAAGGAATGGACTGGAATTTACACCCTGACCCTGGCTGCTTTTCACATTTTCTACACAGCCTTTTCAAGATCCCTGCCAATTCTAAAATTAAATGATTTACGATCAACTGTGTTTCATTCTTCTGCATCGGTTCCCAAAACAAATTATATCAAGAGACAGCAGAAATATTTGTAAAGAAAGGATGTCTGACAGTCTGTGTTGGTGTTTTTCTGTGCTCCTCCAATGGTAGGGCCTCTGTTCACCAGTGCCACCTTTTCTTTTAGCTGTAAGAAAGACCTAGACTGCACGAAGTTGTGCCTGCCCCCGACTGACAATGTTAAGCGCCCTGAGGACCCAGGTGAGGAGAAGTGTCCCGGTACCCATGCTCACCTGTCCTCTCTTTCTCCTTACTCCACATGTCCATCCGTCCCACCCATCCATCTACCCGTGGCCTCTCTCTGCCCCTTCCTCTGACCGCCACGTGCTTTGTCTCCAGGCACCACAGTGCTGTTGCCCCTGGTCATCTTCTTTGGTCTTTGCCTTTTATCCCTCCTCTTCATTGGTTTAATGTATCGTTATCAACGGTGGAAGCCCAAGCTCTACTCCATTGGTGAGTGGGCTTTGGGAGGGAGAGGAAGCTGGTGGGGGTGAGGGAGGAGGTGCGTGGGTGCGATGGACAGGTGTGGAGGGAGGTGAGGAGTGTCCCCTCAGTTCACACCGCTGGGGACTCTGGGCAGGAGGTGGCCCTGAATGGCTGGGGAGAGGTCGAGCTGCATCAGTAGCTTTCTTGTCCCTGGGGCCACATAAGCCCTGAGGCATGTCACCACAATTCCCCACTGCCAGCTGAGTCCAGGGCGCCAGGGCTGAGAAAGGAAGTGAAATTTATGACGCTTTGTTTCTTTTTTCTCAGTTTGTGGGAAATCAACACCTAAAAAAGAGGTGAGATGAAATCAGGGAGCTACTCCCAAATGTCCCTGCTGTTCCTTATAAGTGCCTATTCAGCTCCCATGGAAACATCCTTCCCCTCCCGGGGGATCCCCTCATTCCCTCTAAGTCCCCCCCATCCAGAATAAAGAGGGGAGGGGCGGGGACTGGTTTTTGCTCCCCCACTAATGCTGCCCCACCTTCTGTCTTTCAGGGGGAGCTTGAAGGAACTACTTCTAAGCCCCTGGCCCCAACCCCAAGCTTCAGTCCCACTCCAGACTGCATCTCCATCCCTGGGCTTCAGTCCCATGCCCAATTCCATCTTCACCTCCAGCTCCATCTATACCCCTGGTGACTGTCCCAACTCCGCGGCTCCCCACAGAGAGGTGGCATCACCCTACCAGGGTGCTGACCCCGTCTTGTCCCCAGCCCTCGACTCTGCCCTCATCCCCACCCCGCTTCAGAAGTGGGAGGACAGCGCTCACAAGCCACAGAGCGTAGACAGTGAGTTTCTCCTGCGGCTGGAGATGGAGGTGGGGGATGGAGGGACTGGCGGGGGAGAGGTGGGAGGGGTGCGGGCGGGGTCTGGGGTTGCCGCCCACCCGAGGCTCACCAGCCCGCGTGCCCCCAGCCGACGACCCCGCGACGCTGTATGCCGTGGTGGACGGTGTGCCCCCGCTGCGCTGGAAGGAGTTCGTGCGGCGCCTAGGGCTGAGCGACCACGAGATCGAGCGGCTGGAGCTGCAGAACGGGCGCTGCCTGCGAGAAGCGCACTACAGCATGCTGGCGGCCTGGAGGCGGCGCACGCCGCGGCGCGAGGCCACGCTGGAGCTGCTGGGCCGCGTGCTCCGCGACATGGACCTGCTGGGCTGCCTGGAGGACATCGAGGAGGCGCTGTGCGGCCCCGCCACCCTCCCGCCCGCGCCTGATCTTCTCAGATGAGGCTGCGCCCCCGTGGACAGCTCGAAGGACGGTCGCTGCGAAACCCCCTTCTGGAGAGGAGGGGTGCTGGAGGAGCGGGCAGGAGCTGGCAGCCGCCTGCTTGGTGCTACCCTCTAGATGTACATGGCTTTTCTCAGCGGTCCGAGCGTCGCCGACAGTCAGCGCTGTGCGCTGCGTTCGTGCAGAGAGGTGTGCCTGCCGCGGGCCCAAGAGCCCGGGAGAGGCAGAGCGTGCCAAGAGCCTGAGTGGGTAGTTTCGGGGATGAGGGGCGCTATGCCTCATGTCTGTTTTGGGTATTCTCACCAGCAAGACTGCTCGGGGACCCCTGGTTTCTCTCTGAGCCTTTTTCATACATAAGCAGTCTTTTTTTTTTTTTTTTTAAAGCAATCATGTTACACTAATAGAAACTTGGCGCTCTTGTGCCCTCTGCCTAGACAAGCACAGAGCAGGATGAACTGTCCCAAGGCAGGGGTGAACACAGAACAATGGGGCCTCCAGTCGGAGCTGTGGACTTCTGTAAATGCACTAAATCTCGGAAATTAAAGCTCTGCTCTTGGAGAGAATGGTCTGCCTGGATGGGAAGCGGGGCAGAGGCCCAGTCCTGAGGGGTGATCTGGGAAAAGTCCTGTGCTAGGGTCAGGCAGCCCACCACCACCACGCCGACTGACAGAGAAGCAGCAGGCGCTCTCTCTGCCCTCCCTTATCTGTTGCCCAAGCTGGAGTGCAGGGGCGCCACCAAAGCTCACTGCAGCCTCCAACGCTTGGACTCCTGGGATCCTCCCACCTCAGCCTCCAGATATAGGCGCGCCACCACACCGGGCTAAATTAAAAAACATTTTTTTTTTTGTAAAGATAGGATTTCCCTCTATTGCCCAGGCAGGTCGAGAACTCCTGGGCTCAAGGGATCCCGCACCTCGGCCTCCCAAAGCTCTGGGATTATAGGCAGGCATGTCCAGCCAGGAAAGCCATTTTTATGCACAGGGGTCAGGTTTCTGTGGGGCTCAGGTGCACCTATGATACATAAATTTACAGTTTTGATCCTCAAAGTCCTCAGAGCAGGAGGCAGGGTGCCTGCGCCAGGCTTCCTTTGGGAAATGTGGGCTTTGAGGTAGAGTCAAGGATGCCGGAGGGTGACCAGCACTGCTGGTGAGAGACTTCCTCCGGGGAGAGACGCATGTCACAGGTCCTCCGCATTCCTCACACCTCTCTGAAAAGACAGGACGGGGTGTGAGGGGTGTTAGGCGACAGTCAGTGGCAGTGGCTGAGGGTCAGGTGAAGAGTGAAGCAGAGAGCCCTTCCTGCCTCGCTCCCTGCTCCTGTACTGCCCTCTTTCTATACTGCACCCCCATACAGACATCCCCATCTGCCCCCTCCCAGGCTAGCTTCCCTCCAGCACTTACGATGTGGACAGGGGGGTGTCCAGCCGAATGATGTTGGTCTCCCGCATCCTCTGCAGCTGGGCCAGAGTCAGCTTCCGTGGCCTGCTGTCCCGGGGCTCCACGGCCCCCTCAATCCTTTGGGTGGCTAGCTCCTCCCGGATCTCTCTCAGCATGTCCTCAGCCCGCAGCGGGTGCAGGGATCTGTGGCCGGCACCCAGGAAGAGAGACCCCTCTTCCTCTTCCCCTGAGGACTCCCAGGGGCTCTCCCCGGCAGAGTCAGCATGGGTTGGGGAGGAGGGAAGCTGGCTCCGAAGCCAGGCCCTGTGCAGTGTTTCCACCACCACATTCCCTGGCATGGAGGCCCCATCTTCTTCCTCAGACCAGGTTGGTGGGTCTCCCCGGGGAAGACTGCCTCCTTTTCGGGTTCCTTCTGGCAGTTCGGGGGCACTTCGGCGTTGAGGAGCTTGGGAGTCAGGAGGCGGGGGACGCAGAGGGATGGCCCGGAGGTCCAGGGTGGAGAAGGTGAGGCGAGGGTCCCGCCGAAGGGCTCTTTGGCGTAGACGGCTCAGTGGGGAGCGGGACCCTGTGGGGGTACCTGGGATCAAAGTGCCGTAGCCAGAGTCTGAGGTATTATCTGGCACAAAGGGAGCATCTTCATCTGTGTCTTCCGTCACCACCAGGTGGGGGATGATGGTTGAGATGTCAGGAGTCCTACAATTAATGGTGAGGAGTCAGATGCATGGTGGTCAAGTTCAAGTCCAGGAAGGTTCCCTTGATCACTACATCCAGAAACAGGCCCTCTTCCAAACTTATTTTGGTATCGTCTTTCCATCTCACTGTGATTGGTTTTCTCATCTGGCTCCCTAGATTTTAAGCTCCTAAGAGAGCAGGGGCTGCCTCTAAGCTGTCTTATCCATAGCACCTGGTCCAGGATCTTGTATGGAGTGGGTGGTCAGGTGTTTGCTGAGTGGTTCCTGAACTCACCTGATGTTATCCTCAGGGAACGATTCTTCTTTTCTCCTTAAGAATGCCGCCAAGCAGCGTTGCTATCCTAGATGAACCTCTCATATTCCCTGGGGATTTGGCAGCTCTGATCTTCTGCAAATCCACACCCGCCTTCACTCTCCAGCCTGCTCCTCTCGGGCTGCTCCTGTGCGGCTCTAGGCTGGCTAACCCTGTAGGCTGTCCATGCCCTGTCCCCGACCCCCAACACAACTGATACTGACCTTCCCTATCCTGCCCAATAGACTGCATTCCTCTGTCTATTCCCAATTCCACCAAAAGTGTACTGTAATGCCATTTCTCAGCCTTATGGCTTCCTCCTCTTCCCCTCCCTGCCTGCGGCCCCCTACTTGTGGAGGTCTTGTAGTCCATGTGAGTCTTACCTCCTTTCTGCACTGTTCTGAGAGCCCTCCAGGGAAGGCGTGGAGGGCCTGGTGCTGGGGGACTCCCTGTCCTGGTCCCGATAGAGGGCCAGGAGCTCCCTCTTCTGTTGGATGTACTCCTCTTCCTTCAGCTTCTGTAGGGTTGCCTGGGAGAGGACACCTCATTATTAAGCGCTCCCATTTACTGAGCACCCCTCTAAGAGCGTTACATATATTACCGTATTTAATCTTTACAAAACCCCATTAGCCAGATATTTTTACCCCTCCCTTATCACCAAGACATGGAGACTCTAAGGTTGAGTAACTGCCCGAGGGGGTACTTCTTATAGTAAGAAAGTGGGGTGGGGTGGGGATTTGGTGTCACCAAACTCTGGAGCTGGTGTTGGGGGTGAGTGGGGTGAACAGAATGCCCCTTTTCCTACCTGTACAGGTCTTGCTTCTCATGCCCCCTTGGTAGACCCTTTATCAGGCCTTCCCCCTCCTTCAGGAAGCCCTCCCTGGTTGGTGGTGATGGTAGAGTAAGTGTTCTGAATTGGTACTGGTTGCTACTTCAAGAGCATCCCTCTCCTACCCCCTGGGCCTCTGCCCTGAAGCTGGGAGGAGCAGGAGGGCAGAACATGGGCAGAGGTGGGCTTTGTCCCGGGCTGAGGACTCTTCTGTCCTTCAGAGGGAGGAAAGTTCCTAGAAGGTTGAGGAGAGGATGCATTGTATCATCTGTCTTCCTCCCTCCCTCCCTCAGCTATTTCATACAGGTACCATCGGGACAAAATAGCGCCATCTGAGTAAGGTTCAAAGATCTTTGCACATGTGGTCGTTTGAGACACACCGTGGCCCTTTGGCATGGAGAACATGAAGGGTAGCCCATTTTACGGATAAGAATCCTAGACCTAGAGACGGGAAGTGACTTGCCCAAGGCCTCACAGGTGTGGAGAAGCAGAGCTGGGTCAGGGCCTTGCTCTTTGAGTCCTGGTTCAGTCACTGCAACACTTTCAAGGGCAGCCTTGAAGGGTAAAGAGTTACTGAAGGTCGTTAGCTTGGGGAGGGGAAGGGGAAGAGGAGGGGAGAGAAGGCAGCAGAGCTGAGGCTGGAGGCGGAGATGAGCCTTGGCAAAGGGGAGGTACGGGTAGCTGCTGCGGGCAGCGCTGACATCAGCCCTTGCTGGTATGGCCATATCACTGTTAAAATATCGAAGTCTTCCGTGCTGGTAAGGAAATGGCTGCTGCCTGGGCCTCATCCACTTCCCCCATCCCCATGATCTAGCAACTAGTGGGGACGGTCTGGCACAGCAGAGGACCCCAAGTACAATGCTCCCTTCTGATCGGCTGATGTCTGATTGGCTGATGGCTGATAGTGATTGTTCTGCCCAGCTTGGGGTATATGAGGCAGCAGCTCCTGGGCACCTGGACTTTCCCAAAACCTCTCAGGAAAGCCTGGAGGCAGCTGGGTCAGGACAAGAGATGAAATGGATGAACACGGATAGGAAAATGACATCAGGGTTATATTGCCGTTTTTTTCTGGCTCTCCAGTCACTTATTCCCAAGGGTGACAGCAGTCTTACGAGGTGTGGTCTGTTGGCCAGAGCAGGGGAGGGTACCTGGGGACAGGAAACCTGTGAGGGCCAGGCCCGGCGGCAGGATTCCCTCTTCCCCAGGCCTTATATCCCAGCTCCATGTGAAGTAGGGAAGGAGTGAGGGAAGGGAGGGTGGAGGGGCTGGGCTGATCTGCTTGTCCTGCTGGGGTGCCCTTTTGCCCCACAGGACCCAAATTCAGGTTTATGTTTGGGGTGCCAGGAGAGGGATGTTATGTGAAAGAAAGGAACTGGAAGGAAGTGGGGTTTCTGTAAGGGACGTCCAATGCCAGCATCTCTGCTAAACTCCTTGCCTGACCCAGGAAGAGGCTGGAGGTAGGCAGGGGGAGCCCCGAGCACAGGGGGACAGGGCCGTCTGAGGTGCCTCCCAGCAAGCCCAAAGCCTTTCCAGCAACCCTGGGAGGATTTTCTCAGCTTGGATAACAGGAGAGACATATAGGGGGCAGAGGGGAGGACGGGGAAGGAAAAGGAAATTGGCAGTTGAGCCAGAATGTGACACCCCTACAAACCCGAGAATAGGAAGGGAGGGCCCCCAGCAGGATTCTTCTTCCCTTGTCCCTGTGTAGAGGAAATGCCTCCTTTCCCTGCTGTCCCTGGGGTGGCTCCTAAATTCACCCACTCTCCTCCCAGAACTCCCCAGTGCTGGACTAAAACTCTGAAAGGCACCCACTGACTTCCCCAGCAACGGATGCGGATGCATTTCCCCAGTCAGCAGCTGGCCCTACCCAGGCCCCACGGACCATCCCTCTCTTCTAATGATGGCGATGGCAAACATTTATGGAGTGCCCATGCAGTGCTGGGCCTTGTGGCCAGCCACTTACAGACGTAATGGTCCTGTCTGTCCTGCGTGCACTGAAGTTCCCCAGAAGAGGTGAGGTAACTCCCTGACAGCTTACGTGTCAGAGCTCAGGGGGGACTCGGGTCTCTCCTTCCAACCCTGGCTCTTAGCCCTCACTGCCTCCTTCGGTCTCCCTGCTATAATTTCTTGGTTGCCGTCTCTGACAGCTCTTTCTGTTCCTGTCACTGTTCCTTTTCCTCTTCTCCGTCCCTGGGCCTTCCCCAAGATTCAGTCTCTTCTCCCTGCAGCTCATTTTCCCTAACAGTGTCAGCCATCACAGCTAGATCTGGTAACAAGTTAACATTTCTGCCACGGTGAGAAAACAATAGTCTGACCCCTGGGGATTGCTCTCTGAAAGGGACCAATAGAGATTCTACTGCCCTCTTCGGTTTATAAAGACTGATGGCTCTGGAGAAGATTCTCTAAGAATCTGGTGTGAGACAATAGCAGGAAAAGTAATTTCAAAGTTTCGATTTTCTCTGCTCTGCTAAGGAAGGCAGGGAGCCTTGGTGCATATCTTGGTTAGAGATCTTTACAGGTCTTTCCTGTTAGCCTGGAGTGAGACTACTGGGGTCTGAATTGTTTTGCATAGTAGAATACCGGTAGTTTTTAGTAGCCCCAGGGACTCTAGAGGGAGAAGGTGAGGGTCTGAAAGTTGTTCCATGAGTAAAAACCAAAAAAAAAAAAAAAAAAAAAAAAAAAAAAGAGAAAGTTTTGAAGGTGGGAGTGGCAAAGAAAAAAGGCAGCCTGTCATTCACCCCCACTGGCTGTCCTGGGGAGTTGGGGTTCTAGGAACACAGAGGCCCTAGAACCCCAACTTTTGTCCTTGGGCTTTTTTTTTTTTTTTTTTTGTCCTTGGGCTTTTGTCCTTGGGCTCCCCTTGAGCCTCTAGCCTTTAGGATATTTTTTTATTTGATTTTTTTTTTTTTTTTTTTTTTTTTTTTTCTGGGACAAGGTCTCACTCTGTCGCCCAGGTTGTAGTGCCATGGTGAGATCATAGCTCACTGCAGGCTCTGACTCCCGGGCTCAAGCGATCCTCCCACCTCAGCCTCCTGAGTAGCCACCACCTCACCCAGCTAATTTTTGTATTTTTTGTAGAGACAGGGTTTTGCCATGTTGTCCAGGCTGGATGTTGACCTTCTGGGCTCAAGCCATCTGCCCATCTCAGCCTCTCAAAGTACTGGGATTACAGGAGTGAGCCACTGCGCCCGGCCAAGAAAATCTGATTAACCAACAGAATGGTGTCTCTTGCCAGTCAGTCCAGCCTTGTGGAAAGTGTGTTTAGGCCTAGGCAGAAGTGGTGGAGAGAAGTCCCTGCCTCATAGAGGGGACTGTGAACCGCGCTGGCAGCAGGGGGCGGGGCAGATGGGAGGCCACTCTCAACCCAAAACCCACCTGCCTCCCCTTGGGGTTTGTCTTTTGTCTTTATTTCTCACCTGAATTCCAGGTGTTTGTTTCTGTATTTCTCAAAGCTCCAAAGATATCTCCACTTGGGTATATCTTGGCTGTCTGCTTCAAAGCGCTGCTGTTAAAATATTCCTACCCTGACCCACTTCGCGGAGGAAGCAATAACTAAATAAACACGTTTCCCTTTCCCTTTCTAATGAATGCATTTCTGTCTGGGGTCCCATTGCCCATGTGGTCTTCCAGACAGAAACTTCGGGAGGCCAATCGTGCTCTTTGCCCCTGGGTATCTGGAGTTCCTGGGCCTGTGCCCAGTGCTGGCGCCAGGCCGTGTGCCTAAGCCGAATGACAGCTTTGAATCTCCCTAGGAAGCAGGTACCGTTATTATCTGTTTTGCAGCTGAAGAAACTGAAGTTGAGGGAGGTCATATAACTTACCCAAAGTGTCACATGGCTAGGACCCGGTAGGAACAGTGTCTGAATGTGGATTTTTCTGAATTCAGTAAAGATTTGAACCACAGTATCCTTAAGGCTCGCCTGCCTCGTCCCTCTTGATCTCCTTTCTTCTCCTCTGTTTCTGTCCTTTTTTTGCAGTATCTCCCTAAGACTATGGCACTAAACCTTCAATGTTTTTCACACCCAAACTAGCACAATAAACTTCCTGCCACCACTTTCTCCCTCCTCCAGCCCACCTAGCATCCCGACACCTGATTTCCGACACTGATCTCACCATGTCATTCCCTAGCTCAGGAATTCACGGCAGGGCTATGCATGGTGGTTCACGCCTGTAATCCCAGCACTTTGGGAGGCCTCGGTGTGCAGATCACTTAAGTTCAAGGGTTCAAGACCAGCCTGGGCAACATGGCAAGATCCTGTTTCTACAAAAAAATGCAAAAAATTAGCCAGGTGTGGTGGTGCGCAGCTACTTGGGAGGCTAAGGTGGGAGAATCATCTGAGCCCAGGAAGTTGAGGCAGCAGTGAGCTGTGATCATGCCACTGCACTCTAACCTGGGCTATGGAGTAAGACTCTGCCCCCTGACCAAAACAAATAAACAAACAAACAAACAAACAAACAAACAAAAAACAAAGAATTCACGGTGGCTGTCTCTTGTCAACCCTATTCAACTCAAGCCATCCAGGCCACAGGGTGCTGCAACTCTGTGGTTCTATAGTATCTGGCCTCTTACCATGCACTCACAAACCCTGTGCTCCAGATTTAGGCAGATATGGTCATCATTCCAGAAATAAATCCAGCCAAAATGGTCCTCTGATTCTTCTGCCCATGGTCTTTCCCATCCTTCAAAGTCCAACTCAAACACCCCTCCCTGGCCATTCCACTCCTGCAGTGGGTTGAATAGTGCCCCCCCCCCCCACACACACACAAAGATATATCTCATTCCTAACTTCTGAAACCCAGGAATGTGACCTGATTTCGAAAAAGCGTCTTTGCAGATTTGCAGAGATCCTAAGAGCTCAAGATAAGCTCTTCCTGGATTTAGGGTGGGCTCTAAATCCAATACTTGTGTCTTTCTAAGAGAAAGGAGAGGGAGATTTGGACACAGGACACACAGAGAGGAAGTCCAGCGGAGGACAGAGAAACAGACTGGAATTCTGTTGCCACAAGCCACAAAACACCTGGGGCAGCCCGGAGCTGGAAGAGGCAAGGAAGGATTCTCCCCTAGAGCCTCCAGAGGAAACTCAGCTCTGCCAGCACCTTGGTTTGAAACTTCTGGCTTCCAGAACTGCGAGAGAGTAAGCTTCTGATGGATTTTAGGCCACCAAGTTTGTGGGACCTCATACAGCTCCATTTGTATCTCTCTCTTATTTTGAATTCCTCCTGCTTTTTATCTGCTCATATCACTGCCCTACCTGACTCCTTCACTGGCCCTCTGTCATCTATAGGACAAAGCTCACCTACAGGATGCCTTATCATGACATCCAGAGACGGGCATGACCTGGTGGCACTTTCCCACCAGCCTTCTCCCTGTTGCTCTCCTCTTGCACTTTATACTGTAGCAATAACCAGTGGGGACAGTTCCGTCTCACACACGACTGTTTCACATTTCCGGCCTTTGTACTTTCTGCTCTTCCACGTGGAACACCCTTCCCTCCCTCCCTTGAGTCCCTGACACACTCCTAGGTATCCTCCCAACGCTGCTCAGATACCAGCTCCTCCATGTCCCTTCCCAACAGGCCCAGCAGACAGTGCCTTGCTCCCTTCTCTGCCCTGGCTTTATTCTACATACATCTTTCTATTATTTATGTACTAATTACTCCAACTAGGCTGCAGCGCCTATACCTCGAGGACAGGAATGGCAGTCTATTCTCTTCTGATTCCCTAGCACCTAGCCCTAGCACCTGTACTCAGCAAGTGCCCCATAAATGTGGCGAATGGAGGATGACTTCTAGCAGTTAATCGTTCCAGGCTGCACAAACCTTCAGAGGATGCCACGTCTTGGGCTCTCCCAGTGGCTGGCACAGTAGCTGGACAATGGCTTTTTCCACCTTCTGATGGTTGGTGGAGGCACTACCTCCCTCTTTGGGGCTCACCAGCGGGTCCAGTCTGAACCTGAAACCACGCAGCCTTTCTCTCCTCCTCTTCCTCCCCTCTGTGCTTCCATTTCCTTCCTCCCGCCCTCCCTGCTTGCTTTCTTTTCTTTTCTTTCTTTTTGAGACAGGGTCTCACTCTGTCACCCAGGCTGGAGTGCAGTGGCACGATTTCAGCTCACTGCAACCTCTGCCTCCCGGGCTCAAGTGATTCCCCTGCCTTAGCTTTCTGAGTAACTGGGACTACAGGCTTATACCACCACGCCCAGCTAATTTTTGTATTTTTAGTAGAGACGGGGTTTCATCATGTTGGCCAGGCTGGTCTCAAACTCCTGACCTCACGTGATCCTCCCACCTCAGCCTCTCAAAGGTCTGGGATTACAGGTGTGAGCCACCGCTGTGCTCCCATTTCTGAGCTCCAGACCCCTGTCCATGCCTCCCCATTCCTGGCTTTCCCATACCTGGGCCTGCTGGGTCTTCTCCAGCCACTGGGCCCGGTCTGTAGAGCTGGGACAGTGAACAATGAGGGCGCTGGAGACACACTGGAATTCAGTGAGGTGGATGAGCAGGAAGCTGTCTGGATAGAGGCGACAACCTTCAAGAGGCCAGCCTTTATTTGCTCCCCATCCCAACCCCTCCTTCCCCTCGCTAAGCGGGGAGGGGAAAAGGCTCCCTGCAGGAAGGACTTACGAGGGTCTCGCAGGGGTTGGCACACAAGCCTCTCCAGCATGAGAGGGGGGCGGATGACCTTGGCTTTGTCCGCCTTGCGTTGGGGCTTGGTCACGAGGAGCACGTCAGAGAAGAGGAACAGGTACACGTCCAGCTGCGCGTGGGGCGCGGGGGAAAGAGACAGGGTCAGCTGGAGCCAGGGGCGGGGCTGGTCCGGGAGGAGGCTCAGGCGTGGTGCGCAGGTGTGGTGCGCAGGCACACGGGGACACACGCAGAGCCCGAATGTGGGAGTGGGTGGGGGCGTCGCTCTGGTCCCCTGTCTTGCTTTACAGGCAGGGAAAATGGCTGGCTCAGGGTCACACAAATGACTGGAGCTTAGCCAGAACCACATCCTCTTCCCAACACCCCTCTTCTCCGGCTTCCCCTGGAAGTTTCTGCCTCTTACCTTCTCCCACCGTGCCCATCCCCTCCACTCTGCCCGCAGGACCCTCACCTTCCCTTCTCGCCCTTCCTTCACTCGCACGGGTCCTTCCAGCAGCAGCTGTCTGGTGTACTCAGGGGCAACTCCCAGCATGGGGGACATCAGGTCCAGGGTGGAGAATGGACGAAGGTTCTGAGGGACACACAGGGGAGGGGTCAGGGCACCTGGCAGGCTGCCTGGACTTCCTGGCCAAGGGCGGCTCCTGGTTCTGCCACCAACAGCTTTCTGTCTCTATCCTTCCCCCACGGGCCACAGGAAGCCTCCCAGTGTCTCCTTTTTACACTGCTACCTCTACCCATTGGGCTGTCACTACCGGGAAGAATGATAGACACCCCTGTGGCACCCAGGTGTGGGGTGTTCTGGCCTCTCCAGGCCTCCCCTTCACCAGTATCGCTAGGACCTTGCTTTTTCTGCGTCCCTTCCCTCTGCCCTCTCACCTTCTCCACCTCGTCACTGGGTGGCTCCAGCACCTCGTAGGGCCCGATGCGTTGGGCTGCAGCCATCAAGCTCTCTTGTTCTTCGCCCTGGCGGACCTGTCCATTAATGTGTCGCAGGAATGACTCCACGGCTTCGATCTAGGTGGAGTTGGGGGTGCGGGAGGAGGGACAGCTCAGCACCCCTCCCAACCGACACCAGCCACAGCACAGCGCCACACTGTCACAGACACAATAAGAAAGAGACCTGTTTCCAGTCCCCGACTCATCAGAGTCCTGGCCCCCCTGGGGCACCTACCATGGCATTCAGGGCCTCTTGGGCTCGTGCCCCGGGGCTCCTCTTGAGCACAGCGTGGAGCAGCAGTGGGTACTTGGTGATGCGCTGGTGGGGCTTGATGAGCAAGTCACAGAGCATCTGCCTCCCGGATCGCTTGTGCTTCTCACACCACTGCAGGGAAGGCGGGCAGGGCTCAGGGGTCTGCTTCCTCCTGCCCTGCCTAGTGGTGAACTCAGCTTCAGGCTCAGCTGGAGACTGGCTGGTTAAGGGGCACCCGTCCCTCTCCCCGGCACCCCCTTTCCCACCTGTACGAAGGTATGGAAGAGAGGGTTAGTTTCTTGCTGCTTTCGGGCGTAAGCCATGGTCTGTTTCACTCGGAGACAGTACTGGACATAGGGCTGGAACCGCTGGCCAAACTGGAGAGACAGATACAGGAGGTGATGGGGAGAAGGCCATGCATGCAGGCTCTGGCCTTTGCCCAGGAGCAGATGAAGAGAGAGCCTCACAGAGGCCCTTGGCACAGCTCCTGCCGGTCCCTCCCTCCCTCCCGCCCTCCCAGGATTGTTCTTGAGCCCAGGCCCCTCTCTCTGGATTCTGGGGAGGAGCGGAGGTCCCGACACAGACCTAGAGCTCAGAGAGCTCTCTCCATCCACAGAGCTACTGGGCCCTGCTGCTCTGGACTTACTCTCCCACCATCAATAATTCAGCTGGGCCGTTTACAGAACGTTGTAGATCCCATTTCACCCGGGGATGGGGTGGCGGCCTAAGGGTTTGCTCAGAAGCCTTGCTCCCGTGGAGGGGGTGCCTAAGGCTCCCGGGAGACGTGCGCCTGCCTCTCTCTACCTCTCTACCCCACTGCAACGTTCTCCTGCAGGGCCCATGTTTTCCTGGCTAGGTAACATCGTAGAAGAAAGTCGGACTCCAGGCCCTCTCGCTTTCTCTTGTCACTCTTCTCCACGCCCCAAGCACCTCCTGTGGCCTTTTACAACTGCCCAAGTCATCCTAAGGGTCTCCTCACTTAGACCCATTTGCTGTCCCCAGCTTTTGTAGTTGATGGGAGCCGAGTTGTGACCCTTCCCTGAGACAACTGCATTTTCTTTCTTGTTTGTTTTGTTTCATTTTTTTTAAGTCAGAGTCTCACTCTGTCGCCCAGGCTGGAGTGCAGCGGTGCGATCTCAGCTCACTGCAACCTCCACCTCCCTGGTTCAAGCAATTCTCTGCCTCAGCCACCTGAGTAGCTGGGATTACAGGTGCCTGTCACCACACCCAGCTAATTTTTTTCTATTTTTAGTAGAGACAGAGTTTCACCATCTTGGCCAGGCTGGTCTTGAACTCCTGACCTCATGATCCACCTGCCTCAGCCTCCCAAAGTGCTGGGATTACAGGCATGAGCCACTGCACCCGGCCTGAGACAGCTGCATTTTCACTTCATAAGGGCCTCCAGAACAAGGAGCCTTTGGCACAGAGGTCAGTCAGACTTGCGGCATGAAAGGCAGAGGTGGGGTGATATTAGGGGTAGGGGCTGTGTCCTGCAGCTCCTCAAGTCACACAGAGATTTGTGTACTGCAGCCATGCCCTACACACAGGATCCCCGAGGGCTCCCACTTCTGCCCCATCCAGACACAGCCCTTCAAAGGCCTCACCGTCAGGAAGCCGCTTTGCAGGCCGACGGGGTCCAGGGGCTGGCCCGAGGCCCGAGTCTCCTCCAGGGTGGGCCCCAGCACCTCCTCCCAAAAGCTCCGGTGGGTTCGAATCAGGCTGGGGACATTTCCAAACAGGGTCTCAGCTGACACCTGGAGGAGGGAGCAGAACTGAGTAGCACGCCTTTGGCAGGTCACCAAGGGCAGCACTGGCCAAGGAAGGGTGAGAACCCTAAGCTTGGGCAGCAGGGGCGGGGACGGAGAAGGATGAGCTGGCAGCGGGCCTGGAAGATCTCAAGGACACTGGTCTGGGAAATGGGGGGCCTGTGGCCTGCTTGGAGTCCCCAGTAACAGGGGAGTAGGGAGGGCAAGGTGTCCCCAAAAATGGGGCAGTGGGAATTCAGACAGGGATGGGTGGAGGGCCCGCCCTCATCCTCAGGCTCAGAGCTCAGGCTGTGCCAGGGTCCCCTCCTGAGTGCCCACTCACTTCCGTCAGCAGTCCCACTCGCTGCAAGTTGAGCAGGCCGGCGGCTAGGAGCTGCAGGGAGGGAAACAAGGATCTCAGGGCCCTCCCTCCCTCCTCTCAGGATCCAGCACAGCCCTTCAGGGTCAACTCCCAGCCCCCACCAACTTCAGTATTGCCAACCTCTCTCCCTGGATCCCAGACTGGCCAAAAATCCTGCCCCTCCCTCCCCCAGTGACTTGCGTTCCAATCTGAGAGGATGGGGGATCATGCAGGGAAGATGGGGCCGGGGCTGGGGCGGAGGGAGGCTCACATCGGTCATGATCTTGAGCTTTCTCACGTAGATCAGCTCGGTGGTCAGGAGCTCCCACAGGGCTTCCTGTTGGTGGCAAAGCTCCCGGCTCATCTCCTGGGGTGGGGAGAGTGCTGCGTCAGCTGGGGAATGATGATTAGAATGGCAGGTGCCAGCTGTTAAGTGCTACAGGATGTACTGCATAGGTTCTAGGTACTTTGTACATGACCATGACCTTTTCACCCTCAAACCAATGCTCCAGTGTACAGGTGGCATTATCTCCATCTTACATTTGTGCCAACTGAGGCCCAGAGAACTTTATTGTCTTCACCAAGGTCTCAGAAGTAAGTGGCAGCGCTGGGATCTGAGCCCAGATCAACGAGTTTCCAGATGCTTTTTCCACATGACCCCACTTCCCGAGGCCTTTCCCTCCTCCAGAGCAGAATCTGTGTGTGCATTCGCACCGTGGGGACAGACTCACTTTGTGAGTTTCAGGCTCACCTTGTGCCCAGGCACCAGCTCCCTCCAGGACTTCTCGATGGTCAGGCTGCTGTCGCCACCCTCTCCTATCTCCCAGTGCTGCCGGTCCTCGGGGGGCAGGCGGGGCATCCCAAACATGCTGAAAGTGTGCAGCCTCACCTCCAGCTCGTGGGCCTTGCTGACTTCCTGGGGAGCCAAGAAGGGCATCAGCTCTGACCACATCCTTGGCACCCAGCCACAGGGTTCCGGGAGGGCTGCGTGTGTGTACGTGCGTTTAAGTGTGTGTGTGTGTGCATGCGTGTGTGTGTATGTGTGTGTGTGTGTCTAGGACGGGAGGGGGCATGCAGCACTGAGCTGGGGGACATGGAGGCCTAGAGGATGGAGGTCAGCTCCAGCTGGAATTCCAGGGAAAAATGCATTGCTGGAATATGGGTAAAGAGGCACCCTTGTCTGCAGAAAGGTCCCTGAAAGGGGTGCAGAAAGGGGTCTGAAATGGGCTCCCTGACAGGAAAGAGGTCTTCTGTGGGTCTCCTGATTCAGAGTGAGGTAGGGGAGGGACAGAAACAGATGCTTCAGAGGGACCTTCAAGTGAATCAGAACAAGACTTAGAGAACCAGTGGTCTCAGGCACTGTTTTGACATTTGCCTATGAAATGGGCTTTTTTATGAACAGCATGGTTTTTTACAGGTTTCTTTCTTTGCTTTTTTTTTTTTTTGAGATGGAGTTTTGTTCTTGTTGCCCAGGCGAGAGTGCAGTGGCGTAATCTTAGCTCACCATAACCTCCACCTCCCGGGTTCGAGCAATTCTCCTGCCTCAGTCTCCTGAGTAGCTGGGATCACAGGCACGCACCACTATGCACAGCTAATTCTTGTGTTTTTAGTAGAGAGGGGGTTTCATCATGTTGTCCAGGCTGGTTTCGAACTCCTGACCTCAGGTGATCCACCTGTCTCGGCCTCCCAAAGTGGTGGGATTACAGGCGTGAGCCTCTGTGCCCCGCCCATTTTACAGGTTTCTTTGGTACCAAGTAATGTGGGCAATAGACAATCCTGACCCTCACTCATTCCATCCAGATGTGGCTTGGGAGGAGGGGTGAGGCTCACCGAAGCGCTGAAGGATGGCGTGGCCCTGAGGATGGAGGGATTATATCTAACTGTCAGTGACTTGCTGATTTGACTTGCTAATTTTCAAAACCTGAAAGCTCCGTATCAGTTGTTTATCCATGTTTAAGCAAAGTGTCTCATGTCAAAGTCCCTGGTTGCAATCCATGGACCAAGGAGAAATGTATCCATGAGACGTCCTAGGCAGAGCCATGTCTGACTGGCAGGCAGTAGCCTCCCAGATCTGTGCTCTCAGCCCCTGGCGTTTGCTGGTCATCTGTGGAGCCATCACAACTGGGGCCCGTATGCGTGGGGATGGGAGGAGAGGGACCCCCTTACCTTGAGTTTGGGGGAGTGAGGTGGGCCGGCTCCCATGTGGCCTCCATGCCTCTTCTCGGGTTCTGAGTCTCGAAACCTCATGGGTGACAGGCCCCGGGCCTGGCCAGAACCCCTGGCAAAGGGGACATACTGCTGGAGGCGTCGGCGACTGGGATCCTGGGGGAGAAGCAGGGGAAGTTCTGGGGCTGCCTCCCTTTCCCCAGAAACCCAGTGAGGTAGTAGGGGGCCAGGCTTGGCTCTGGATGTCGTCCCCCACCCTGGTAAGTTGCGCTGGCTCACCTCTCACCGCAAACCAGTTTGGCGTGGGCTGTTCCTGCCCTGAGTCACAGCGGCCGCTGCCAGCAAGGCTAAGCTGAGTGGGCAGGGGCATGACAGTCTGCCTCCCCAGGGGGGTCTGGGGCAGAAGTGGGACCTCCTGCCAAGCAGGTGCACAGGCACGCACATGCCTGAGCTCTGGTGAATGTGCCCCCACTGCCTCCTGCTCTCTGTACCATGAGGTGTGCATGGACAAGGCGTGGTGCACGTGGCATTCTGGTCTCTTGTAATTCTCCTTGTCTGTGACCAGCCTCCCTCACACATGGGGACACGGGCACATACATGTGCAGCCTCCTCCCCAGGGGCGTGCAGCCTGCATCCCATCCAGCTGGGAGTGGCTGCCCTTCTGTGTGAAAGGCTGTGGCCACAGCCACATGGCTCCTCCCAGGGCAGGCCTGGTCACATTCCTTCATTTGCCTGTGGCCTGAATTACCCCACATACTTCCTAGTCTCCCTTCTCACCTATTGCCTAGGAGAGTCCCATCTCCAAGGGTGAAATTCTCGTGCAGTGAGGCAGGGGATATCCCAGCCAGAAGCGGAACTGTCCTCAAGGTGGAGGGGAAGCCTGCAGGCTGAGGGACAGACCGGGCTTCCACACCCCTCTCCGTGGTGAGGATTGGAGGAGGGCCAGGCAGGTGGAGCCAGGGGTGGAGCCAAGGTGGGCACCTTCCTGTTCCTACCCACCACGGGAAGAGCAGGGACATCCTGAACCTTTGCTCTTCTTCATCCTGACTCAGGGAGGCACAGATGTCAGGAAGCCCTCAAATTCCTGCCAAGGAGAGGCGGGAGCCTGGGAGGTGCCAGCTCAGGGTTTGATGACCTTACCGGCAGCTCTGCACCTGAGACCTGTCTAACAGCACTCCTCTGTGGGCCTGGTTTCTCCTAGCTCTACCTCTCCTGCCCAGCTGTCTGGGACTGGGGTGTGACATCCCTAGAGCCTGGCCTGGCACTGCCCTCCTCTCCCCCACAACCCAGAAAAGAAGAGCAGGGTAAGGCGCAGGAATAGTGCAACCTCTGAACCTGTATGTCAGGTGTCCCCAAACTACGGCCCCGCGGGCCGCATGCGGCCCCCTGAGGCCATTTATCCGGCCCCCTGCCGCACTTCAGGAAGGGGCACCTCTTTCATTGGTGGTCAGTGAGAGGAGCACAGTATGTGGCGGCCCTCCAGCGGTCTGAGGGACAGTGAACTGGCCCCCTGTGTAAAAAGTTTGGGGACGCCTGCTGTAAGGGGACAGAGGCTCTGCACCCAGGTGTCCTCCCTCCTGCCCCACCAGGTCACTTTTGGGGCACAGCCTAGGCTTACCGGCACGGGGCCTCCTCGGGGATAGAGACTGCCAGCAGTGCTCTGAGCAGAGGCTCGATGCCGGCCCCCATAAGTCTCAATGCGGGAGGCCACGAGTCCCGGTAGGGGGCCCTCATTTGGAGGACCCAAGGCCTGCATCCCTTCTCTCCTGGGTCACCTCCAAAGGGCCATAACTTCAGTATTCAATAAAAGGCGTCCTGTAGGGCGGCAAGAGAGAAAAGAGGAATGAAGGGCCATCCCCAATCAGTGAATGACACCAGGCGGGAGACCAAGGCTGGTGGGGGGCCTGGGGAGAGGGTGCAGGGGGAGAGGAGAGGGCTGAGGGCGTGGTCACTTGTTGGGGAGAAAATGGCTGCCTCATCTATGACTTGGTGAGAGTAGGGTAGGTCCAGGCACATGCTGGGTAGAAGGCCCCTTGGAGATGTACCTCCTCTCTCACATATGTGCGTTTTTGGGGTACAGACTCCTGCACTGGCCTCAAACGGGAACAAGGGTCACAGACAGGTCTCAGGCTTTCTGGATACACCCAGATGGGAGAGCTCTCCTTGCACCTGGATATTACCCCATCCCCTTCCCATATAAAGCCTGGGAAAAAGCAGGAGCGAGGCCATGGGTTGGGCGGGGTGGGGTGGGAGTGGGGGTGGCCGCAGACAGCCCAGTCTGCCACCCGTTTTTGCACAGCCTGCAAGCTAAGAATGGTTTTTGCATATTTACGTAGGTGAAACAACCGCGACCCCAATGCGGAAAAAAAAAAAAAAAAAAACCCACCAATATTTTGGGACAAGTAAAAATTACATGATATTCAAACTCAGTGCCCGTAAATACAGTTTGGTTGGAATGCAGCCTCCTCTGCTGGTCTCCTAATAGTCCATGACTGCTTTCTTGCTAGTTAGGACAGACGGTGTGGGCTGCAAAGTCTCTCATATTTACAGTCTGGCCTTTACTGAAAGGCTCGCTCATCTCTTACCTGAACCCTCCTGGCCACAGACAGGGAGGTGAGTGGGGCCAGGAGTGAGTGTCCGGCCACTGGCCTTAGCGACCAGACAAACAGAAGAGTTTCTCTGCTCTTGGGTTCTATTCGGTCCTCCCCAGCCTCTGGGAACAGCACCTCGGAGCTGGGGGCCAGGCGTGGGGCTCCATCCCTTCCCCCTAAACCTGAGGGGAGGGCCCGCCCTCGAGTGGGCAGGGCCTGGAGAGGAGAGGCCTCCTAAGGGGGTGGGCTCAGGGAGGCCCCCAGCAGGTGGTCTGAGGTCCCTCCTCAGCCCTCCCCTTACTGTTCCTCCGATTTAGGAGTAAAGGAGGAAACGTTCACCGTCCCTCGTGCCGCCTCCCAAAAGTCCTCCCTCCCACGGAGGGTCTCCCTGGCACTGCTCCCTACCCAGGGTCGTTTCTCAGCCTAGCCCCCGGCTCCCCCTCCTCCCTTCCCCTGCGCCCCAGCTCCCAGGCCCCGGGTCCCCGCCGCCCCGCGCCGGGCCGCGCAGCCCTCCCGCCGCTCACCTGTGCCTGCAGGTGTCCCCGCGCCCGCTGCCCTTGCCGCCTCCCCCCCGTGGGGCTCCCCGTCGCCGTCGGCTCCCCGGCGATGCCAGCAAGCCCCGCTGCCCGGCCTGGGACTGGGACCTACGGCCCGCGGGAGCCGGGCGCGCGGGGCCGGGCGCGGAGAGGGGCGGGGACCGGGTGGCCCCTCCCTACCGCCCGCAGCGCCCGGGGCAGCGAGGCGGGGCCCTGGGGACCGAGCAGCCCCCGCCCTCGCGCGGCGCGGCCGTGCCCTCCGTGTCCGCTTTCCGTCGCCCCTGAGCTATTCGCCCGGGCGGCAGGACTGGGACCGCGCGCCCGCCCCTCCCGGCCAGACCCCCGCGAGGCGCCGCGGCCGGGGAGGCGGCGAGGGTGACAAGCCGTGGCAGGCACCCCCCTCTCCTGCGGGTCGCGGCGAGTGGCCGGCTCTCCTGTCCTTCCCCTCCCTCGGCCTGGACCCCTAAGCAAGCAGGGAGCGCTCCTGCCACCTGGAAGGGCCGCCGGGCGTGGGGGGCATCGCTGCTCTCCGGCTGTGGAGTTTAAAGTGTGAGCCTTCTCTCTCAGCGGGCGGGCTGGCCTTACTGGTGGCAGGTGGTGGTGGAAGGCTATCCTGGACTTTGCCTTTGCGCCAGGGATAGGGCCCAGTGTCCGGCTTGAGGCATATGGCACTTGTCCTATGACCTAAGACTCATGTGGGGGCACCCTCCAGCTTCACCCTCAAATAAGCCCACTCCGGGCTACACCAGGGCCACCCAGCCCCTGTGGTGGCTGCTAAAATAGATGCTGTGGGGCCAGGCATGGTGGCTCTCGCCTGTAATCCCTGCCTACGAGGGGGCAGGTCATGAGGTCGGTAGTTCGAGACCAGTCTGGCCAATATGGTGAAACTCTGACTCTACTAAAAATACAAAAATTAGCGGCGGGTGCCTGTAGTCCCAGTGACTTGGGAGGCTGAGGCAAGAGGATCGCTTGAACCCAGAAGGCAGAGTTTGCAGTGAGCAGAGATTGCACCACTGCACTCCAGCCTGGGCGGCAGGAGATGCTGTGGAAGGACTGACATGTGCTGGGCATTGCATGAAAGGACCACACTTTATATCCTTTATTCTTTATTTTTAAATGTTATTTTTTAAAAAGAAAATAGAGACAGGATCTTGCTGTGTGGCCCAGGCTGGTCTCCAACTCCTGGGTTCAAGCGATCCTCCTGCTTCCGTTTCCCCACGTTTTAGCTTCTCCAGATCATGGCACCTCGTCTGATGGAAGCACTGGGTATTTGAGATAGAAGTGTCGTGTGGATGTGCGGTCATTATAATCTTACAACCATGAAGCCCAAGATCCTGTCGTGGGCAGGTGGCAGGTCTGAGGCTCCCACTCCCTCACCTTGCCTGAGGTTTATTTCCTGCCGGTGAACTTGACAGTGATTGATTTGGCTCCTTACTTCTGCAGAGCATCCTGAAGTTCAGGAAACACTTCAGAAGCAGAATGTCCTTGGGTTGCCAGGGGAAGGGGTTCTCTATTCCTCTCTCCTATCTAGCATATGAAACGCATACAGGATCAGAGTGTTCTAGTCCTCGTTTGGACTCTGGTGACTCTATTTTGCTTGGAGGAGGAATCTATATCATTGGACAGTTTCTAATTTTGTATTCCCCATGTCCATCCTCGAATCTGCCCTCCGGGGTTCTCTTTCTCTGAGCTTGCTGTTGGGTGATGGTCCTGCTGGTTCAGAAGCCTCCTCTGTTCTTCTGGCTCCCTGAACCAACCTGTCTCCTGCCTCCCAGCTGGTGGTGCGACCAGTTTTCGGGGGTGAAGTCGAGTGGGACAGGAGAAACCAGAGTTTACCTAGTTCCTAGCCCTTCCCTCTTCCCCATTCACTCTGTGTGTGTGTGTGTGTGTGTGTGTGTGTGTCTGTGTGTGTGTGTGTGTCTGTGTGTGTGTGTGTGTGTGTGTTGTGAGAGCTAGACAGAGAGAGAAAGAGAGAAAGAAGAGGAGAGAAAGAGAGAGAGAGAGAGAGAGAGAGAGAGAGAGAGAGAGAGAGATATCCAGGAATGACAAGAGTAGCCATGAGGGAAAGAGTTAATAAGCCAGGAGGTGGTGATTATGAACAGTATTAAACGACACCCCAAAGACAGCGGGTGTCAAGGGCCCCTAGCTTCTCCTCCCACTCCTCCCAGTGTCTCCCAGAAGGAGAGAGAAGGAGGATTGAGGAGTAAGAGGGAAGATGAACTTCAGAGAGCACCAGACATGCCTGGGCTTACAGTGCTCTGGGGTGAGCTGGCTAGACTGGCCCAGTGGACTGGGGAGAGTTAACCCTTTCACTTCCCTCAAGGCGCTGAGGTCCAGTCTCCACCCACCGCTGCCCCAGGGCCCATCTTCAGCCTCTCTGGGAGCAGAGGTTCCCAGGGAAAGCTGGAGTCTAGAAGCCAGAGGTGTGGCCGGGCACGGGTGTGTGGGCTGGGAGGTGGGCCTCCCGTGTTCTCTTTCTTCTCTTCTGTTGCTCTCACAGTCTCCGTTTCCACGATCCCTTCTGTGCTGTGGAAAGCACACGCCTGTGGCAGGCTGAGAGGAGCACTCTCAGAGAGCTGGATGAAATCTAAAGAACTGGGAGGCTAGAGGCTTGGCCTCTACCAAGTGAGGCTAGGGGCCACCTGGCCCTTGGACCAGAGTATGTCACCTGGATACTTCTGTCTATTCCTGGTGTTCCTAGCCAATCAGGCCCCCCAGATTGACCCTATAACTGATGGCAAAGTGTCTTTCCATGGTCAGAGCTCTGAGGATCAAATGCTTCTGTCCCATAGCAGCCTGAGGATAACTGCCTGGGCTTGGCATGGGGGGGTCCCTATGGGGTTGGCATAAGGGGCTCACCGGGCAGGAAGATCAGGGCAGGAGTGGGGACCATCTGGGCTAATGAGGTACTGGCAGGCACTAGCAACAGGAGACAGCTAATGGGAGCTGTGTCCTCCCTGTCCAGAGCAAGGGAGAAACTGAGGGTCCAAGCAGGGATGCCCCAGGTCATGTGAGGCAGATGAATACCAGGAGGCCAGCCATGGGGCAGAACTGCTGCCTCCCGCTTCTTCACTCCTCCCCTCCCACCTTCCTTCCACATTTACTGGCAATGTGCAAGACAGTAGGAATGTAGGAAAGAATCAGACAGGTCCTGACTTCTAGGGATTACAGACTAATGGGGAGGCAGATGGGTGAAGAGAACACTGACATTTAAGTTAGACATAGAATGAGTAAGTCAGGAGCTGTGGGAACACTTTGGAGGGAGCAGTTACTACGTCCTGCCAAGAATGGCTTCTAGAGGAGGTGAGCTTTGTGTTGGGACTCGAAGGATGAGTAGCAGTCAGCTGGCCTGAGAAGGAGGAAAGGACATTTCTGGAGCAGGGAAGAGCCTGTTGAAAAAGAAATTGAGGAGGGCAGACTTCCCTAAAGGCCTCCTGAGGGTCCACCCTGGTGACTCCCTGGGAACATCCCAGCTTCCAAGCTGGTGATCTCTGGGAAGTGGCTTGGGAGGATGAACCCTCTCGATGGCCTTTCAGGACCTCCGCAGTTTGACCTCAGTTATAATTCCCTGCTCAATCCCTAGACGCGTCCCCATTCCCTGGATCTGCCTCGGCTTTCCTGGCTCCATGCCTTCTACTTTTTTTTTTTTTTTTTTTTTTTTTTTTTTTTTGAGATGGAGTCTTGCTCTGTCGCCCAGGCTACCAGGCTAGAGTGCAGTGTTCGATCTCGGCTCACTGCAGCCTCTGCCTCCTGGGTTCCAGCCTCTCCGGCCTCCGCCTTCTGAGTAGCTGGGATTACAGGCACATGCCAACACGCCTGGCTAATTTTTATATTTTTTAGTAGAGACAGGGTTTCACCATGTTGGCCAGGCTGGTCTCAAACTCCTGACCTCAGGTGATCTACCCACCTTGGCCTCCCAAAGTGCTGGAATTACAGGCATGAGCCACTGCCCGCAGCCGACTTCATGCCTTTGCTCAAGCTGTTCCCCTCAGCTGGGTGCCTTGTCCTCCCACTCCACTTACCACCTTCAAGGTCTTTCCTGACTGCCTCCCTCAGGAAGCCTTTCTTAATAACCCCACAGCCAGGCTGATCACTTTCCTCCCTGCTTGCAGCTGTTTTGGCCGCTATGTTTCTTTAAAAGGCACCAACCACTCTTGTTCTGCCTACCACTGTGGATATTTACGTATACCACCTATGCCTGAGGGCAGGGACTAGCAAACACAGGACTGGCATAGTGTTTGGGAATTGAACTGAATTACTTGCTAGAGGACGCAGATTGAATGATTTCCAGATAGACTTGCTTGTACTGTTCCATCCCTGCCCAAAGGAGCCAGCTTTGCTGTTTAGATCCCTGGAATTCTTCCATAATTGCAGTTTGGCATTCCCACTTGATTACTGTAGCATCAGCACATCTTATATGCACCTAAAGGGTCCTCCCTGTTAGGAGAAACATACCATATAAGTTTACCTTGCAGGCCAGTTCTTTTCTCTTTTTCTTTTTTTTTTTTTTTTAATTCCAAATTCTCCCAGATCCTGAATTGTAAGCCAATTCTGATAGGTGGTGGTTTTCTAGAATACTAACTTAAGAAGGATCCTGTGGCTCCCTCGGCGGAAAGAATGCTAAGATGGCTTAGCAATGCCTGCCCCAGGGGAAAGAGGGCTCTTTCTGCCTTAGTGTGAAATATTTATCACTCACTTTTCTTGCACTGAGCTAAGACTGGGACACTGAGCATGTAGGGCCTTTGCCTCTGGTAGAGCCGATGGGGAAAGTGACTAGGAGACAAGCCGGTGGATCTACCTTCTTGAGATTTATGGTGGCTCTCCTTCAGTCAGAAGCCTGGATCTCCAGGTCTGTGCTCTGACGCACCCTTTTGACATATGGCCCCAAGGGGGCTGTGGAATTTTTTTCCTTCTTTTGAGACAGGGTCTCCCTCTGTCACCCAGGCTGGAGTGCAGTAGCACCATAACAACTCTCTGGGCCTAGACCTCCCCACCTCAGCCTCCCGAGTAGCTGGGACTACAGGAGCATGCCATCATGCCCTATAGTGAACAGAACCTGGGTGAACAGATGGGTGAACAGAATATTGATATTGAGGTTAGACACCGAAGGGATAAACTGGGAGCTGCAGGAACAC